GAACGCATCTGCGTGCTGGACAGGACAAAGGAACCGGGCTCCCAAGGGGAGCCCCTGCTCCTGGAGGTGCGCACAGCTCTTCATTCCTCGGCACATCCTGAGATCGTGGTGGTTGGCGGCCGCTATGGCCTTGGCTCAAAGGAGTTCACGCCCAACTGCGTGCTCTCCATCTTTGAGAATCTGGCTCAGGACACCCCGAAGCCACGATTCACGGTGGGCATCAACGATGATGTGACTCACCTGTCACTGCCGGTGGGGCCCTGGCTCAACGTGCTGCCGGAGGGCACCACAGAGTGCATGTTCTATGGGCTGGGTAGTGATGGCACCGTGGGCGCAAACAAGTCTGCAGTCAAGATGATCGCATTGGGCACAGAGCTCCACGCGCAGGCCGGGCGGGGGCGAAGGGGGGACAGGAGCGTTCGGAAGAGGTGTCCTGACTTCAGGCGTACTTTGAGTATGACGCCAAAAAGAGTGGTGGAGTGACCATCAGCCACTTGCGCTTTGGTCCGAAGCCCATCCACGCCCCGTACAATGTCCGTGCAGCTGACTACATGGCCATCCACAAGCAGAGCTACGTGCAGCAGTATGCGGCTTGGGTGGCACAGACCTTTGCATTTCACCGACAGCCTGTGCCTCAGTTTCCAGAGTGGGCAGGAGCTCTTTTTTTGTTGAGGACATGACGAGATACCTTAAGCCGAATGCCGTGTGCGTCATCAACTGCTCCTGGGACGAGAGCGAGCTGGAGGCACAGCTGCCGGCTAAGATGCGCAAGGATCTCGCAGCCAAGCAGGCAGGTCTGCCTTAGAATCCTAACTTTCCATGCGGCATGTTACGTCGATGATGCCAGGCCAAGCTCTTCATCATCGACGCCACGAAGATTGCAGTGAAGGCAGTGGGTGCGAGCACAACCGAACTCCGTTTGCAGGCTGTTTCCTCATGCATCGGTGCTGGCACTGGTCCCTGTGGTAGGCTGGCCTTGGAAAGCGCATCAACATGATCATGCAGGCTCGGTGCAGGCAGCTGAACCAGCATTGGGTTGCATGCCGCATACCTCCCTGCACATGCCAGACCGTCTTCTTCAAGCTCAGTGCGGTGATGCCCTATGAGGAGGCCGCCACAACTGCTTCTTTTTCTGCGGCGTTGTGTTGCCACTTGGATTCCATGGATAGGCTGTGGAGATGCTGAAGAAGAGCATCAAGAAGATGTACGGTAAGAAGGCTGGGGCTGGCACAGTAGCTTCTGCCGCTTCTGGTTATATATGGCATATGTTGCTGCCATGGCAGGGTGACAAAGTGGTGAACATGAACATCGCCGGTGTGGATGCCGCCATTGATGGCATCATCGCCGTCAAGATCCCCGCCTCCTGGGGCGACCTGTCAACCGACGAGGAGGCACCTGGGCTTACGTTTCCGTCTATGCTTTCACGACACTCACGACGTGCTGTGCGGATGTTCCTTTGAGGCTGCCTCCCGCGCCGCTCGGCAAGTTGCCTACGCCAAGGGCCCGCGCATGTTCCCGGAGGTGCAGGATGCGGACCAATTCGCTAAGCAGGTGCAGACTCCTTGCAACAGCCTGGATGGCAATTCGCTGCCTGTGAGCGCCTTCGTGCCGGGCGGCCGCGTGCCATGCGGCACCAGCCAGTACGAGAAGCGCGGAATTGCGATCAACGTGGCCTGTCTTAAATGACCGCTTTTTGGTATCGTGACTGTGGTTAGTGCTTCCCAAATGGATGCATGCAGCGTGAACCAAGTTGCGAAGCTGAGGTGCCTGTCGTGGACATGGACAAGTGCACGCAATGCAACAAGTGCAGCCTCATTTGTCCGCATGCGGCTGTGCGGCCTTTCTTGATGACAAACCAGGATCTGGGCAAGGCCCCTGCCGCCTTCAAGGAGGGCAGCCGTGCCGC